CCCCCCCCCCCCCCCCCCCCCCAACTTTCGTGTTTTTTTGGTGACCCCCCGATTCCAAAGTGCGCCGCATGCGATGCACGCGCGTCGTGCTTACTGCGCGGCGCACGTCCGAGGTGCAGCGCATGTCGATGCGCCGCATGTATGATTCAAGGTCTTGGATCGCAGTTTCCATTTGGAATAGCTTTTTTGGCCAGGTACCTACTACCCTTACTTCCCGCAGTGTGAACAACTCTATGACCGATTCTTGTGGGTCAGCGTTGTGGATGGATGGAGATTTGGGGTTGGCGTGATCGTTCGGATAGGAAGTGAACTTTTCTGGTGTTCAACAGATCTTTCCAGCTATCTGGAATGCTGTTTGTTACTGTTACCAAGTTTTCATCACGATGGTGGCACCCATTCGGGTGTGATTTCAACCGTTCCTCATCGATCCAGTTTTTTTTCTCTTCATCCCATATGTGACTCACCCTCCACACCCCCTGCCGGATCCATGAAAGCCAGCGCTGGCCAGTTGCTAAAGACAGTGTATGGTCCCCTGCATCCCTTACACATGGATTCCCGACAGAGTTGGCTCATGACTTCCTCTCTGGATTTTGGTTTGGTTACCTTCTTTGGCATGACTTCTCTCAATATGCTGATAAGCGCAGTCTAGTATGGGGTAGAGGATTTCCTCTCATTCCGGGATACATTTGACGTCCGTCTCCTCCTGCCTGTTTTCGGCTTCCATTCTTTGTTCATAACCCAGAATAAGCCTGACATGTTAGACGGGCTTTGTAATGGGGCTATGACTCTTATGCTGTCCAGAGCTAGTTTGTGCCATGCCATCATTGGTTGGGTTAGTAACTTAATTATCCATTTGATGTGCAGGGCTTTTGTTTCCTGCTTAGGATAGATTATTCCTAGTCCTCCCTTAGATGGTTTCCTTGGGGATGCATTTTGCCTTGTTGGGGTCCCCTGCCCAGAGATTTGATGGTTGTCGGGAATTGTCCAGGTGGAAGCAATGTACCACATCATCGAGAAGATGGAGGTATTGATGGTCAGGGCTCTTCCTAGTAGAGAGGTGAATGTATTGCCCCATCATCCCATTTTGTTGATTTGTTTAGTGAGCAGGTTTTGTGCCATTTGTGGGGCAGGGCCGTCCTTGGTGAACAGAATTCCCAAGTATCTTGTAGTATCTTCTGGTTTTTCCCATGCCATTTCTGACTCAGGTCCGACCATTGCAGGTATCTCTTCTTCCGATAACCACCACCCAACCATCTTTTTCCAATTGATCTTCATTTCCGATGCTAGTCTGAAGGCTTGCTTTTACCGAGGAGTCAGACGCTCTTATAAGGACCGTGAGGTCATCTGCGAACATAATCACTATCGGGAATTGTATATGGTGTGTTGTGCCGGTGTTTATCTTTGGCAGCCTCTGAATTGAGGGATCCTTTCGGAGAAAGGAGGCAATAGCTTCCATAACAAATAGGAAGATCGGAGCGGCAAGTGGATCTCCTTGACGGACTGACCTGGAGATCGGGTATCGCTCTGAGATCAGTCTGTTGATTTGCACGCATCCTTTTTTTTTTTCTTTTTTTTTTTTTAAATAGCTCCAATCTATTGGTGGGGAGCAGCACCTGCTGGAAAACGGGTCCAGCGTCCCTTACATATATTTTTGAATGAACATAGTATCAACAAAGTGTCAATCCAAAAATCTCATATCCAAGTAAAGAGCTGATCTAGTCATAGAAATCCAGATGCCTCTTCAGTCATACAAAATGACCGCCAGAACAGAGTGATTAACGTAGCATCTATCTCAATAAACTCCTACCTGTCTAATAAAACCGCCTATGCACGCATCCTGAGGCGTCATTGAACAGAATCCAGACCCACTTTTTAAAATTAGGTCCCACTCCCATTTTTTATATACTAGCGTTGAGGAAGGCCCAGTTAACTTGGTTGTATGCTTTCTCAAAATCAAAGAACATGATTAATGTGTTCAGTTTTTTCTCCTTTACTTTCCTTGCTGCTTCATTTAGACTTAATACCGCCCTGGGATAAATCTGACTTGGATCTTGTACGGAAGGGCGAGTAGTGATATTGGCCTATATTTCCTTATATCCTCTCGGTCTTCTTTTTTGTTTAGGAGGGTCACTACACTGCTGCTTAGCAATTCTCCCATACCTCCCTTTTCCCAACTGTCCTTGTAAAAGTGGAAGAGATTGTTGCCCATTAATGGCCAGAATTGTTCTCAGAACTCGTTGGTTAGGCCGTCCAACTGGTGACTTGTCATTGTTCATGTTGTGGACCGCAAACTTCAATTCATCGAAAGTGATGGGTTTGTCTAGCTCCGCTGCTTGTTCCGTAGAGATTGTCTTGTCGAGGAATTGTAGCATTCTTGATCTCGCCTCTCTTACGGCTGTGGATGGAGAGGTTGAAGCTCTTGTCTAGTATAACTCCTGGTAGAATCCCTTGGCTATTTCCAACGTACGCTCATTATTGTCCTTGTGTGCTGTTCATTTGTGAGTTCTTTGAGTCCTTCAATTGCATTTGACCTTGTGTTAGCTTTTATTATCGCAAAGAAGTGTTTGGTCATTGACTCATTCAATTCATACTCCATCATTCTTGCTCTAATATGTAGCCCTCTCAGTTCCCGTTCTCCATATTGCCAATTCCTCCCTCGCTTTTTCAGAAGTGTTGGAATAAAGGGTGGAGGAGGGGTCATCTGCTAGCTTGGCTTCGGCAATCCGTAGTGACATCTCTAGGGATTGCTTCCTCATCCTTTGGTCATTGGCTAATTTCCTTGAAATGCTTGCTGATGATTGTGCCATGAGAGGTAGCTATCTTGGAACCATTCCCATCTGTCTTGTCCCTCTAGGAATGAGCCCCTCGAATTTTGCCAGCATTCCCGTATCCCGTCCTGGAAAATATGGCTTAGGAGGAGAGAATTATTCAGTTTGTGGAAGCTGGCGCCTTTCGTGATGTATTGATAAAAACTGAGGATTAACTCAATGGGTTCGTGGTCCAGTCCCATGTATGGGGCGAGTCCCAAAATGTCAGCGTCTTTGATGGTACACATGATATGTCCAGAGGCAAGGAAATAGTCGATCCTCGAAAAAGCCGTGTGGTGGGCATGGTTCTTCTTAACCAACGAAAAGTTTTTTTTAAGGGCCATAAGGACCTGTTTTCGTTATTAAAAAAAGGGGGGGGGAAAATACTCCTGTTTGAAGTTTGAACTGTTTACTACAATGAAATTTTCCAAAAGCTAATTAGAAAACTTGTGCCGATCTGTTGCTTCTATATGATCATTACAATATAGAATGTGGGTGGTCACCATGGGATAGCCTGAAATATGTTGGTACAGGGCAGCCAATGGGATAGCCTGATGAATTGTTATCGACAACTTTCTTTTCTTGTCCATCTCTTGTTTCAGTCCAGAATATGCAGTGCAGGTTTCTATGCCCTGGGACTATGCAACAAGTGCAATGATACGCTTTGCTTCTATGATGGTTGTGTCAAGAGAGAAAGGTGAGCTTTATGTGATTAGTGAAACATGTATTGCGATACTGTAACCTCAAGGGGACCTTTGCAGCTTTGCCAGCAAGAAAGATCGAGTGAGCGCACTTTTGCAAATCTTTCAAATGCAAGGGACACCATTTGGATTGGTTCAGTTTACAACTTTACATCTTTCGTTTTTTTGGGGAAACTTCTCTGATCATACACACTTGAATACTTGACATAAGAGAGAAATCATTATGTCCACCTACATGCTCAGCTGCCCTAATCACACAGCACTGAACTGGGATCGGCGCCTATGCGGTATACTTCCAGAACTGTCGGGCTATGGCTGTACCCAATCCCTCTGCTATCAGTGATAAGAATAATACTGCACAAACTTACCAAAGGAAAAAACTGTGAATTCAGCTACTCATCAAGTGAATTCTTTTTGCTATTCCATTCTTTTGTCTACTAGTTTTGACGCAGAGGAAAGATTCACGTGCCGTCCTCACCAAGCGCTTCTTTTTGCTTTTCCTGGGTCTGTCACTTTTTCATGAGCAAAGGCTTGAATTACGTGAGAGTCAATAAACTAGGTAGAGGAGCGATGTTCTCCACCAAATTTACTGGGTAAACTTTGGGCGAAGGTAAATTTTGGGAAAATTCTTAAGTCGTAGAGTTTGAGTTGGATCATACTCTTATCGAGGCGGAGCTCACTGTCTTTGGCATGCTTGCTTTGTCCCTACAATGAGTACTGGTTCATTCCCACCCTCAGTTCGAACGCCAGGTTAATCTCCAGACTTCGACCAATGGACGTTTAATTTTAAACAGAACCTTATGGCTCTGGCTCCTACCATTCTGGGGAGCAACAGTCCGGTTCCTTTTTTTTTTTTCTTTTTTTTTTTCACCGTCGGGGAGGCTCCATCTATTGGTGGGGAGCAACACCTGCTGGAAACCGGGTCCAGCGTCCCTTTGATACATCGTACAGCACAGAGATTACTAGTAACAGTCATGAAGTCGTATCTACGTGCCACCTGTCAATCCTGCAAAAGATGTGCACGATCAGCTGGATGAGCACGCGGCAGTCCATATCCTGATGAGCAGCATTGATTGCCCTCCACTGAGGGGATTAACTGCTCACCCCTATGAAARCCAGATATCCACCCCAAAACCCGTATCATCAGCTATCACTAATTGCAACACCACAACGGGGAGGGGTATTTGGAGTGGGAATTCACAAATTCAACTATAAGACCACCTGCCCCAGTGCCCCCCCCGAGTCGTCAAGATCTTCACATCCTACTCAACCGCGGTGGCACCAGTGCGCCACGTGGCCAAGCGTTTATAGACAATCCTGACCCCTATCCCTACTGTCCTTTCTGCACCTTTGAGCGCGGCCACGTGGCGAAACGTAGTTCATTATRCAGATCACCATATCCCCTGCAATCCTCGTAATCTGAGGATGAGGCGAGTCCTCCCTCCACATCGCAAGGAGGACAGGTATTCAATCATGATGAGCAGCATCAATCACCCACTGCCCATCTCAATAT